CAGACCCGAAGACCAATGGAACAGAATAGAAGATCCAGATATAAATCCACAGGCCTACAGCCAGCTGATATTCGACAAAGGAGCCAAAGACATACAATGGAAGAAACACAGCCTCTTCAACCGCTGGTGCTGGGAAAACTGGGCAGCCACATGCAGAAAACTAAAAGTGGACCCCAGCCTATCACCATGCACCAACATCAACTCAAAATGGATTAAAGACCTTAACATTAAACCTGAATCTCTGAAACTACTGCAGGACAGAGTAGGAGAGACACTTGAACTAATAGGCACAGGAAGGAACTTCCTGAACAGAGTCCCAGGGTCACAACAAGTTGGAGAGAGACTCGACAAATGGGACTACCTTAAAATAAAAAGCTTCTGCACAGCTAAATCTATCGCAACTAAGCTAGAAAGACAACCAACTAATTGGGAAAAAATATTTACCAGCAATATATCAGACAAGGGGTTAACATCCTGTATATACAGGGAACTCAAGAAACTAATCCCTCCCAAACCTAACAAACCAATTACTAAATGGGCAAGGGAACTAAAGAGGGACTTCTCAAATGAAGAAATAAAAATGGCAAAGAAACACATGAGGAAATGTTCATCATCCCTGGTGGTGAAGGAAATGCAAATAAAGACAACCCTGAGATACCACCTTACCCCAGTCAGAATGTCCCACATCCACAAATCAGCCAACGACAAATGCTGGAGGGGATGTGGAGAAAGAGGAACCCTATTACACTGCTGGTGGGAATGTACACTTATACAACCACTTTGGAAAGCAGTCTGGAGGGTCCTTAGAAAGCTAAAGATTGACCTCCCTTACGACCCAGTCATACCACTTCTAGGCATCTACCCTGAACAACAGGAACCAATATACAAGGACACGTGCACCTCCATGTTTATTGCAGCACTGTTCGCAATAGCTAGGATATGGAAACAACCTAGGTGCCCCACCACAGATGAATGGATCCAAAAATTGTGGTATCTATACACAATGGAATATTATGCAGCCATTAGAAATGACAAAATAATGGCATTTGCAGGGAAATGGATGGAGCTAGAAGGAATCATGTTGAGCGAGGTAAGCCAAGAACGAAGAGACAAACGGTACATGGTCTCCCTCATAAGTGGATGCTAAATCCAAAAGGTTAGTGATACGACAAAACTAACAGGACTTAAGAAACAAAGAACTCCCGCTCATCTGGTTGAACCACTACTAAATATCCTCATGCTGCTGATCACAAATATGGTATATAACATGTGAACACTGTTATATATTACAGACTGTGGTAGACAATTTGCTCCAGGGAAGTTAGAATGAACTTGTGACTTTGAAATTATGTAATCATTTAATCACAATCAAAAAAAAAAAAAAAAAAAAGAACCTCGGGGAAGGGAGGGAGGGAGGGGATGGTAGGGGGAAAACAATGGAGGGGGGTAACAATGTTCAAGAGGAAGTGTACTCATAACCTCACTCATGTAACTGTAACCCTCTGTATAGTAGCTTTACAATAAAAAAATAAAATAAAAAAAAAAAAAAAAAAAAGAACCCAGAGGTCCTTAGAGCAAGGGCAGCAGTCAGATTCCAGAAGTCACCCAGCATGCAACAGGCATCAGGGTCACACGAGGCGGAGCAGCCCCCACCCATCCTGCCCGCCTGGGAACAGAGCGAGCCCAGAACGATGTGAGAGTGTGGGGAGCAGAAGCCGCCGTCCTGCGGCGGGTGGGAAGACAGTTGCCAAAACTTCTTACAACGCTGTGCGCGCTTGCCACGCCAGCCCACGGCCCGCGCCTCACTGGAGCTGGGGCTCCACAGAGGCCCTGCCCGGGGCTGGCCGCAGCTGGGTGCAGAATCGCCAGGGCGTGGAAGCGGCCACTTGGCCCTTACACATTTGTTCAGACTTCGGACGGGGCACCGCCGGGCCGCGGGCTGGGCCACGGCGGCTGTCCGTGTGGCCTCAAGTCGGTCGTGGAGAGAGAGGCCTGGGGGGTGGGGGCTACACAGACCAGCTTGGCATTTCCCCCGATTCTGCCAAATTCCTAAAACTTGTATTTTCCAAAAACATCATAAAAATATAGAAACCTGGACACACACACACACACACATGCGCACACACATGCACGCACACACGCACGCACACATGTGTGTGCACACATGCACGTACACATGCGCACACATGCACACACGCACACACATGCACACACATGCATGCACACATGCACATGCACGCACGCACGCACACACATGCACACACGCACGTACACGCATGCACGCACACGCATGCACGCACACACACGCACGCACACATGCACACGCACACACACATGCACACACACATGTGCACACATGTGCACACACACACACATGCCAGTAGACATGGATTTAGAGAAGCTCTCAACCCAGCCCCTCTGCCGCTCAGATGTCACCGCAGCGCTGTGCCATCTGAGCACCCCCAGAAGCACTGAGCACGACACATGCGCTGGTGGCTGCAACGAGGGCCCACCCCACGGGGTAGGGAAGAGCACGCAGCTGGGGAGACGGGACCAGCCCAGACGGCTGCGGATGGCACGGGCAGCGGGGGGCAGGACGGGCAGCGGGGGGGCAGGACGGGCAGCGGGGGGGCAGGACGGGCAGTGGGGGGCAGGACGGGCAGCGGGGGCCAGGACGGGCAGCAGGGGGGGGACAGGACGGGCAGCGGGGGGGCAGGACGGGCAGCGGGGGGGACAGGACGGGCAGCGGGGGGGGACAGGACGGGCAGTGGGGGGCAGGACGGGCAGCGGGGGGGGGACAGGACGGGCAGCGGGGGGGGACAGGACGGGCAGCGGGGGGGACAGGACGGGCAGCGGGGGGGGACAGGACAGGCAGCGGGAGGGGCAGGACGGGCAGCGGGGGGGCAGGACGGGCAGCGGGGGGGCAGGACGGGCAGCGGGGGGCAGGACGGGCAGCGGGGGCCAGGACGGGCAGCGGGGGGGGGACAGGACGGGCAGCGGGGGGGCAGGACGGGCAGCGGGGGGGACAGGACGGGCAGCGGGGGGGGACAGGACGGGCAGTGGGGGGCAGGACGGGCAGCGGGGGGGGACAGGACGGGCAGCGGGGGGGGGGCAGGACGGGCAGCGGGGGGGACAGGACGGGCAGCGGGGGGGGACAGGACGGGCAGCGGGGGGGACAGGACGGGCAGCGGGGGGCCAGGACGGGCAGCGGGGGGGACAGGACGGGCAGCGGGGGGGGACAGGACGGGCAGTGGGGGGCAGGACGGGCAGCGGGGGGGGACAGGACGGGCAGCGGGGGGGGGACAGGACGGGCAGCGGGGGGGACAGGACGGGCAGCGGGGGGGGACAGGACGGGCAGCGGGAGGGGCAGGACGGGCAGCGGGGGGCAGGACGGGCAGCAGGGGGGACAGGACGGGCAGCGGGAAGGGCAGGACGGGCAGCGGGAGGGGCAGGATGGGCAGCGGGGGGCAGGACGGGCAGCAGGGGGGACAGGACGGGCAGCGGGGGACAGGACGGGCAGCGGGGGGGGGAACAGGACGGGCAGCGGGGGGGCAGGACGGGCAGCGGGCGGGCAGGACGGGCAGTGGGGGGGCAGGACGGGCAGTGGGGGGGCAGGACGGGCAGCGGGAGGGGGCAGGACGGGCAGCGGGGGGGCAGGACGGGCAGCGGGGGGGGCAGGACGGGCAGCGGGGGGGGGCAGGACGGGCAGCGGGGGGGCAGGACGGGCAGCGGGGGGGCAGGACGGGCAGCGGGGGGACAGGACGGGCAGCGGGGAGCAGGACGGGCAGCGGGGAGCAGGACGGGCAGCGGGGGGCAGGCAGCGCGTGAGGCTGAGTTTGGCGGGGAGGAGGGGTGGAAAGGGTCTGACCCTCAGGTCTTCGCCTTGGGATTCTTTTTTTTCTGGTGTTCCCACCGCGGGGATCTTGTGGCCGAGAACAGTTCACAAATAGGTTTTCTTCCACTTCTGTGCTCTGGTGGCAGGCAAGGAAAATCCCCAGGGAGCCTGCCCACCGCCACCATCGCCACCCAGCCGGGCAGCATGGGAGGGGCAGCACGGGAGGGGCAGCAGGCAGCCTTCCTCCGCAGCGGCTGGGTCTCCGCAGAGGCAGAGCTCACGCAGCCCACAGGGCCTCGGCTCTGGCCTGGGCAAGGCTCCACCCACAGCAGGACACGTGCGGCCACCACACAGAGAAAGGCCTTCGGGCCTGGGAGCAGCCGCGGTCCCCTGGGACCCTCCACACAGAGGCAGGAGGCATGGGTGTCAGAGTGGGGTGCCCTGGGGTTCAAACTAAGTCAGGAGACCTCGGTTTAGCTCACCCGCTCCCCAAATCCCAACTCCAAGCCCAGCGGATCCTGCAAGAGATGAGGAACGCCTCAGAGCACTGGGGTCCTGAGTCACCCCCTGCCTGGACAGACTCCCGGGGAGAGACTCTGCTCCCATCAGGTGGCAGTTACTGGGAGACGCCTGGGCCAGAGGGACAGAGCACACGCTCTCTCTCATCCCTCCCTCCCTCCTTCCCTTTTCTTCCCTCCCTCCTTCCCTCCCTCCCTCCTTCCTTCCTTCCTTCCTTGTCTTGGGACTTAAATTCAGAGTCTGAGCTTTTTTGCTCAAAGCTAACACTCTACCACTCGAGCAGCCGATCCACTTCTGGCTTTATTTATTTATTTGATGGTTAACTGGAGATTCAAGTCTCACTAGCTGTTTGTCATCTCAGTCTCCTGAGTAGCTAGGATTCCAGGTGTGAGCCCCCAGCACCCGGCCACATTTTTTTTTAAAGTAATGTCTCCTTTTACTAGAGTAGTTTTTGTCAGATGTAGCCCTGCAGAAGTGCCCATGTGGATTCGGGAATGCTTTGCCAGGGGCTTTTGGAGCAATTGTTTTATTTCTATACCTTCCCACTGTTCCTGCCCAGGCCCTTGGGTAAGGAAGAAAAGCCACTGATTGACGTGTTTCCCGCATCCTAAGGACATCTGTCGTGTCTGTAGACAGATTCTCCACCATGTTTAGCAATGTTTGGCACACATTCTCCACACGCTTCTACCAGTTCACAGAAAGAAACTCCTTTTCCTTGGGAAGGTCACAGGATGCTGATGATGAATGTACCACGTGGCCTCCTAGATGGCCAGAGCCGAGTCAGGGAAAGCCTGGCCTTCTGCTCATCACATATGGCCACCTACCTGCCCCAGAGAACCCGCGGAGAGGCTACGCTCTGTCCCCTGCGCTGTCCCCCTGCGCTCCGCCCTTCTGCGCTCCGCCCCCTGCGCTCCGCCCCCTGCGCTCCGCCCCCTGCGCTGTCCCCCTGCGCCCGCCCCCTGCGCTCCGCCCCCTGCGCTCCGCCCCCTGCGCTGTACCCCTGCGCTCCGCCCCCTGCGCTCCGCCCCCTGCGCTGTCCCCCTGCGCTCCGCCCCCCGCGCTGCCCCCCTGCGCTCCGCCCCCTGCGCTGCCCCCCTGCGCTCCGCCCCCTGCGCTGTCCCCCTGCGCTCCGCCCCCTGCGCTCCGCCCCCTGCGCTCCGCCCCCCTGCGCTCCGCCCCCTGCGCTCCGCCCCCTGCGCTGTCCCCCTGCGCTCCGCCCCCTGCGCTCCGCCCCCTGCGCTCCGCCCCCTGCGCTCCGCCCCCCTGCGCTCCGCCCCCTGCGCTCCGCCCCCTGCGCTGTCCCCCTGCGCTCCGCCCCCTGCGCTCCGCCCCCTGCGCTCCGCCCCCTGCGCTCCACCCCCCGCGCTCCGCCCCCTGCGCTCCGCCCCCTGCGCTGTCCCCCTGCGCTCCGCCCCCTGCGCTCCGCCCCCTGCGCTCCACCCCCCTGCGCTGCCCCCCAGCGCTCCGCCCCCTGCGCTCCACCCCCCTGCGCTCCGCCCCCTGCGCTCCGCACCCTGCGCTGTCCCCCTGCGCTCCGCCCCCTGCGCTCCGCCCCCTGCGCTGTCCCCCTGCAGCCCGCCCCCTGCGCTCCGCCCCCTGCGCTCCGCCCCCCTGCGCTCCGCCCCCTGCGCTCCGCCCCCCGCGCTGCCCCCCTGCACTCCGCCCCCCGCGCTGCCCCCCTGCACTCCGCCCTCTGCGCTGCCCCCCTGCGCTCCACCGCTCTGCGCTCCGCCACCCTGCGCTCCACCCTCCCTGCGCTCCGCCCCCTGCGCTCCGCCCCCTGCGCTCCGCCCCCCTGCGCTCCGCCTCCTGCGCTCTGCCCCCTGCGCTCCACCCCCTGCGCTCCGCCCCCCTGCGCTCCGCCCCCTGCGCTCCGCCCCCTGCGCTCCGCCCCCCCTGCGCTGCCCCCCTGCGCTCCGCCCCCCTGCGCTCCGCCCCCTGCGCTCCGCCCCCCCTGCGCTGCCCCCCTGCGCTCCGCCCCCCCTGCGCTGCCCCCCTGCGCTCCGCCCCCCCTGCGCTCCGCCCCCTGCGCTCCGCCCCCCCTGCGCTGCCCCCCTGCGCTCCGCCCCCTGCGCTCCGCCCCCTGCGCTCCGCCCCCCTGCGCTCCGCCCCCTGCGCTCCGCCCCCCCTGCGCTGCCCCCCTGCGCTCCGCCCCCTGCGCTCCGCCCCCTGCGCTCTGCCCCCCTGCGCTCCGCCTCCTGCGCTCCTCCCCCTGCGCTCCCCCCCCTGCGCTCCGCCCCCCTGCGTTCCACCCCCCTGCGCTCCGCCCCCTGCGCTCCGCCCCCCTGCGCTCCGCCCCCCCTGCGCTCCGCCGCTCTGCGCTCCGCCCCCCTGCGCTCCGCCCCCCGCGCTCCGCCCCCCTGCGCTCCGCCCCCTGCGCTCCGCCCCCCTGCGCTCCGCCCCCTGCGCTCCGCCCCCTGCGCTCCGCCGCTCTGCGCTCCGCCCCCCTGCGCTCCGCCTCCTGCGCTCCGCCCCCTGCGCTCCCCCCCCTGCGCTCCGCCCCCCTGCGTTCCACCCCCCTGCGCTCCGCCCCCTGCGCTCCGCCCCCCTGCGCTCCGCCCCCCCTGCGCTCCGCCCCCTGCGCTCCGCCCCCCTGCGCTCCGCCCCCCCTGCGCTCCGCCGCTCTGCGCTCCGCCCCCCTGCGCTCCGCCCCCCGCGCTCCGCCCCCCTGCGCTCCGCCCCCTGCGCTCCGCCCCCCGCGCTGCCCCCCTGCACTCCCCCCCTGCGCTCCGCCCCCCTGCGTTCCACCCCCCTGCGCTCCCGCCCCCTGCGCTCCGCCCCCCTGCGCTCCGCCCCCCCTGCGCTCCGCCGCTCTGCGCTCCGCCCCCCTGCGCTCCGCCCCCTGCGCTCCGCCCCCCTGCGCTCCGCCCCCCGCGCTCCGCCCCCCGCGCTCCGCCCCCCCCTGCGCTCCGCCCCCCTGCGCTCCGCCCCCTGCGCTCCGCCCCCCTGCGCTCCGCCGCTCTGCGCTCCGCCCCCCTGCGCTCCACCCCCCTGCGCTCCGCCCCCTGCTCTCCCCCCCTGCGCTCCGCCCCCCTGCGCTCCGCCCCCCTGCGCTCCGCCCCCCTGCGCTCCGCCCCCCTGCTCTCCCCCCCCCCCTGCGCTCCGCCCCCCTGCGCTCCGCCCCCCTGCGCTCCACCCCCCTGCGCTCCGCCCCCTGCGCTCCGCCCCCTGCGCTCCGCCCCCCTGCGCTCCGCCCCCCTGCGCTCCGCCCCCCTGCGCTCCGCCCCCCCTGCGCTCCGCCCCCCTGCGCTCCGCCCCCCTGCGCTCCGCCCCCCTGCGCTCCGCCCCCTGCGCTCCGCCCCCCTGCGCTCCGCCCCCCTGCGCTCCGGCCCCTGCGCTCCGCCCCCCTGCGCTCTTTTTCTCCCTGTCTTCAGCACCCAAGCCGACAGCCATGCTCGTCTGGACTACCATTAACTCTTAGGCCCTGGGTAAAAGTCACCAAGGGTGGAGTGCGGCTCCATCTTCCTCCTGTGCCAGGCCCCTGCTGACAAACACAAAGCGCACACTGCGCACTGCAGCCCTCCCGGCCACGCGTATGTCACTGGAAGATGAAGCAAATGTGTCCCCATCCCCTCCGAGAATTCCAACATTCATTTCTCCAGCCAGCCCATCACGTTTTGCAGGGAGGTAGTGACCCACGGGGCTGCGTTTTCTCCTGTGTCATCATTTAAAAACCCATGGAGGGTTAGCAGCCGGGTCAGGGGGGACAGCAGCAGATCTGAGGCATAAGCTGGGAAAACTCTGGGGGCGTTTGCTGTCCCTGGGCTGGCCCACGGGCCAGGAGGACAGGGAGCACTCACCCAGGATGGGTTCTGCTCAGGAGTCATCTCAAGCGAGTGCTAATACAGCTGCAGCCTTCATTTCCAGTCCCTCTGGAACACTCGGCATCCTGTCTCTACCCGCCCACAAAGCGGGAGTTATAGCCTTGTGTGCCTGCTATCTTTGAAAGTGTTTGGGAAGTTCTGTGAGTTCCTCTTGGCCTGGACGATGGAAAATCCTAGCAGTGAAAACACACCACAGGACCAGAGTTCTGTGCCTGCGGATGGTATACAAGAAGAAACCGTGCCAGGTCAGAGAGAGAGGTGGCCGCTGGCCGGAGCCAGGTGGAGAGTTCACTAGTCCTCCTGGGGAGAAGGAAAAGGGAGTGGAACAATTGGAGCTTCTCTTCCGGTGTTTGGGGGGAAGGAGGGCTGAATTATCCAGGTGACTCTAACTGCCCAGACGGAAGCTGTGGCTGTCAATCACATTAGGGAGTCACTGTGACTACCCTTTACCGTGGGCATGACATGCAGAGTCTCACCCCAAACATGACAGCACACACCTCGAATCCCAGAATTTGGGGGGCTGAGGCCAGAGCTTTGTGGACTCTAGGCTTGCCAGGGCTCTCTAGTGAGTAGCGGACTTACCTCCCTCCGCCCCAAAGTCCATGCATGATCTCAAGGGAACCTGCACATTGGTCTTGCTATGTTTACTGGAGGATGACCAGTTGCTCTGTAGAAAGGATTCACCCAGCACCCCATGCTGGCCACTGACAGAACCAGGAATATGGAAGGGGGCTCTCACCACAGTCTCCCTTCCCCCTGGAAAGCACACATGGGCCTGGGGCTCACTGCTCATCTTCTAGACACTTCTCCAAAGGCCCACACATGCCTCAAGTGCCACATTCACTTTCCTCTCCAAAGTCCTCTGCCCCTGCCCCTGCTCGGACCGGTCGTGCTCTGCCACAGCTTTGGAACCTGCTTCAGAATCTCCCAGCGGGGCTGAAGCACCCAGAGGCCAGACTTGCAGCTCATCGGTGGCCCTTGAAATGGCTGCTCCCCAGAGGGGAAGGTGGAGGGCCCCAGGGTTCACCAGGCAATGCTTCTGACAGAGGCAGAGTGGTGCAATGCTGAGCCTTAGCTGAAGACCACAGCTCCTCTACCCAGCTGATCTGGGCTGTAGCCTCCAGACACAGGGGCTGCTTTCTCCCAAGAGGCAAAGGGGCCAGACCCAGGTTCACAGACCAACTCCAGCCTCTCACTCCACTCCGCAGGTATTCACTCAGCACACATACCTGGAGCGGGATGTGTGAATCTCAGGCTGGGCAGCTCAAAGCCAACCAAGGAGCCTGGAAGTCTACTGGGGATCGCTGATGACCAAAACCAGCCACTGCAGTGCGAAGAGCCTCCAGCAGGTGGCACACGTCCCCAACATGAAGCCCTTTTGGAGGCGGCCGCAGAGCCCCACACCCTGACTTCACACCGATCTCTAATCCACCCATCCCTGGCCATGCCGCCGTTTCCTTGTGTGGATCCCTCAACGCGTGGAGTGGGGCTGGAGGCTGCCATTTCCACTCTGAGTTCAGTGTGAAGATATAGCACTGTATTTCACTGGTACCAAGTGACAGGGTCACTTGGGGGTCCCCAAGGGGGCTGGGTCATTGTGGGCTAAAATTGGGAAGAGTTGGAAAAGTGCCATGGCGATAAACAGAAGCAGCAGCGAGGCCATGGAAGGCCTGGCTCCAATGGGTCCCCAAACCACAAAGGAAAGCGGTGACCACGCTGACTGTCGCTGATGTCGAATCCCAGCAGACTGAGAAAGGACCTTTGACTCCTAGCCATCCAGGGGTCTGGATGGAGTGGTTGGGGTCCAGGGAGGTGGAATGGAGGAAGAAAAGTCTATGAGATGCTTATCTCCAATCAATCAGCAAAAAGTCAGACGTGGAGCTGTGGCTCATTTGGTTGAGTGCCAGCCTTGAATGAAAAAGCTAAATGAGAGTTAGGCCAGGAGTTCAAGCCTCAGTAAGTGGCATAAAAATCTCTGTGCACGGTGAGACCAGATCTGCCGAGAAGCAGAGCAGTGGAGGGACGGGGTGCTCCGGCCGAGCTGGGGTCCCTCTCGGGACCTTGCCTGCCGTGCCCAGCCTCTGTGCTCACGCAAGTGATCTCAAGTAAACCATGCAGCGGTGTGGGAGGGGCGTGGTGGTGGGACTTGCCTTCAGGAGATGCGTGTGAGTGTGCTGAGCTCAGGCTTGAGGGGTGTGCGCCTTGGGGCCGGTACAAGGGACAGCTGGTGACCCGTGGGGCCTGGCTGTGCCCAAAGGTGGGTGCCTACTCCTGGGAGACGGCAGCTCCGGCCGGGGCTGGGCCTGAGCCGGGAGCACCACCATCTGCTAGGCTAAACAGCAGGTAGGGCAGGGGCTGGCCTGGGAGGCGGTTGGGGGAAATGGGACACCCTGCGGGGGCAGCTTCCCACGCAGGGCCCACAGTGAGTGTTGCAGCCTGGGGACCATGCTCCGTGCCCGGGCCCATCGCTCAGAGGAAGAGACCTGGCTGGCACTGAGGGCACTGAGGCCCCTCCCCAGGGCTGTCTGACATGGGGTGAGGGATGTGGCAGGACAGCATGGCAGGACACCCTCCACTGCTTTGCACCTGCAGAGCCTGTGTCTGGAGGCCCAGCCCGCGGCTTCTAGGAATTCAGTGGAGCAGTGGGGCATGGAGCGGAGCAGAGACGCCCTGTCCTGCCCTACCTGCCGCTGGCACAGTGGCTCTGCCCCGGAGGGGAGCCAGGGGCCTGGGCCCATACAGATTAGCCATCCGGAGGCCAGGGGACAGAGTGCGCTTCAGGGCCTCCTCCTCCTGCCTCCTCCACCGGCCTCGTACAGCTGCGAGGCCGCCCCGGCTCGGCCCAGCGTGCCCCACTGTGGGCATAAAGGACATAACTGAACCAGTGGAGGCCGAGGAACCTCTACTCCCTGCCTGCCCTCCTGCACCCACTCCGGCCTGGGCCGTCCCTGGGGAAACCACAGGCTTCGAACCAGCACTCCAGGATTTTGGTCAAAAGGCAATTTCAGGGGGACAAGCACTGGATCCAAACGGCCACTTGAGGACAGGTGTTAGCGGTGCGTGGACGAGTAGTGAAAGAACAGATGCCCAGAACGTACTGTGCCTGGAGCCAGCCAGGTCACCACACCCCGCCACCAAAGCTCAGGGCAAGGCAGAGCCCCATTGTGGATATACAAGATGGCGTCTGTCTGTACACAAGGTGGTGCAGGTGTGGTGTGGTGGCTCATGCCTGTCATCCACTACCCAAGAGAGTCAGAAGCATCACAAGTTAAAGGCTATTCCCACCAACCCACCAAAACAAAACCCATGGCAACAGGGATGGCCCGAGACTGTGCCGAGGGAAATAACACAAATCACAAAGAGACAGGAGCTGTAAGCTACCACTCCTGTGATGCGTGTGGAGTGGACAGAACCAAGAGACAGAAATTAGGACAGCTGTGGCTCCAGGTGGGCGGAGGGATGAGCAGTTCGTGTTAAATTGGTGCAGAATTTCATTTAGGGAAAGCAGAGGTTGATCTCAAGTCAGAAGCAGCGGTGCACACCTACAATCCCAGCTACTCTGCAGCAGGAGGTAATAGGAGCCCAGCTTCCAAGCTGGCCTGGCCACAGTGAGACTGTCTCAAAAACAAAATACAAACGAAGGGCTGAAGGTAGGGTTCACATCGTACGGGGCTTGCCACGTAAGTAAAAAGACACAGGTTCAGTCTCCAGTATCACAAAAGTAGAATTATTTTAAGGTAAATTTTATATACGCTTTGCCATAATTCTTTTTTTTTTTTGTCAGTCATGGGCCTTGAACTCTGGGCCTGGGTACTGTCTCTCAGCTCTTCAGCTCAAGGCTAGTGCTCTACCGCTTGAGCCACAGCGCCACTTCCAGTTTTCTGGTGGTTTATTGGAGATAAGAGTCTCACGGCCTTCCTGCCTGGGATGGCTTTGAACAGTGATCCTCAGATCTCAGCCTCCCGAGTAGCTAGGATTACAGGTATGAGCCACCAGCGCTTGGCTGCTTTTCCATAATTCTTAAGTAAAAAAGAAAAAAATGCATTGTTCTGAGTCTTTGAAGAAGGCTCTCTAGCATTCCCAGCAGGCCCAACACCCTGCCCATAAATGCCAGGTACCCACAGGGTCTAGAGGGGCACGGAACAACTCCTCCAAGCCTCTGAGGTCCTGCTGGCTTCTTCCTCCACATCCCCTTTCTCCTCAAAGGAACAGCTTCCTCCAAACCCCAGGATCACAAAGAGGAGTGTGCTGCAAACAGACATAAGCTACAGGGTTATTTGTCCATATCCTCAAAAAAGTCCCCAACTGGAAACCAGTTCTTTCTCAGTTGCTTTATACACGCTCAGTGGTACATCTATAAAGAAGGTATTCTCAGTTCCACGTTTAGAGGCTGCCATGTGCTGATCCAAATCTCATTCAAGTCCCAATTCTCAGTGCTCACAAGCCGTAGCCTTTACAAAGGAAATCAAGTTCAAATGAGAGCATTATTGTGATCTGGACGCAGCATGACTAGTATCCTATAAAAATGGGCCCCAAGATAGAAACACATGTAGGAACAGAAGACGCCAAAGGAGCAGGAGGAGTCGACAGGGCAGGAGAGGGCCCGGGCAGGCCCTTTCCTCTCAGCTTCTGCAGGAACCAAACCTGCCAATACCCGATTGCAGACCACAGTCTGCTGAACCATGGGACAGATGTCTGCTGCGTGTGTGCCGCCCAGCCTGGAGGGCTGTACGGCGATACTACACACCAGCCATGGCACAGGGGAGGAGCCAAGGCCTGGAGAGATGGAGACCTGGCCGGAGTCACATGGCTGAGCAGGCACCGTTTCATAATCCACATCTAGAGCCAGTGGGGTGTTGATAACTATGAAGAAACTCATGGATAAGACAAAAGGGTTCCTGATCTACAGCTTTTTACCAATTCTTGTGGTAAATATTCCAGCCACAGCCAGTTCCAGCAACCAATCAAAAGCACTAGGGAGAAAACCTCTCCGGGCTGATCGTGGCCTGCCGCAGAGCTCCACTGCCCTAGGTCTGTCAAGTTTGGGCTTCAAGGTCCTTTCTGCTGCACAGACTGATTCATGTTGTTACAGATGTGGCTGAAAAGTGACTGGGGAAAAGCCTGGGAAATTACTGCTGCCTTCCGTCTGAAACGAGGACTTTGCCTGCAACTCTAGAACTTGGATGCACTGTGTGACAACCATTTTCTCTGATGTCAGGTATGTAAAGCAATGGAGCAGGGGAGCCGTTACTAAGATAACAGAACAAGGGCTGGGAAGGTGGCGAGGGCTGGGAAGGTGGCTCAGTGGTAGAGCGCTTCCCTTGCATGCATGAGGCCCTGGGTTTGATTCCTCAGCACCACATAAGCAAAAAGAAAAAAAAAGAAAAAAGCCGGAAGTGGCGCTTTGGCTCAAGTAGTAGAGCGCTCGCCTTGAGCTGAAGAACTGAGGGACAGTGCCCAGGCCCAGAGTTCAGGCCCCACGACCGGACCCCCCCCCCCCACCCAAAAAAAAAGATAACAGAGCGAGATAACATGTCACTTGTTTGGGGGACATTCATGCACCAATTGTGTGCTTTGCATACCACATGCAGCAATAACAATATCTCTTGGGCCAAAATAGGATCACGAGATATCTCAAAAGGCTCCAGCATCAAATGGCAGCATCTACGATACTCAAGTGGGCCAGGCTGTCCACCACTTTACCACCTTTGCCTTCCACGCTGGGAGAAGGCATGCTCTTAGGAGAACATCAAGACACCCTAACTCACCTCCTCCCCTCCTGTGCTGTACTCCTGGCCAGCTTTCTGATCTCCACAGAGGCCCCCTCTTCTTTAATGTCCTCCCCTGAGCTGCAGTGGAAGGAGGCTGGGTTCACTGGTTCTCCCACCAGAGAACTGACAGGTCTGGGGTGGCTGCTGAGCCTCGGATACATGGGATGCGACCCTACAAGATGGTCTATTTCTCTTTTCCTAGACAGGAGTTTTCAAAGCAGTGAGTGGAGAGCTCTAGAAGTAGAGCTGCCATGGCCAGTCTGGACATTATGCAGACAAAGGAAAAACCCAGTTTCTCCTGAGGGAATTCAGTCAGGACCTCCGGGGTGTGGCCGTGTGCTGAGGATTGAGGATCGAGGGCTCCTGTAGAAATACAGCCTCGGATACAGCAAAGAAGTTGCTTACGACCTGCTGGTTGGCCGGATGCATTGGGTATGTAAGGGAGGCCAGGGATGCAGAAGAATCGCCCGCAGAGCTGTTGAAGTGGTGCGAGCAAACTAGGACCCAGCTTCCAACAGAGACTTAAGCCACGGGACTCAAGAGCATCCAGAGCCACACCATACGGCGTGAAGATGGTGGGGACGGCTGGGCAGTGATGGCTGAGGCGCTGGCAGGGTCAGGGACTTGACACCTCCTGAGTCTCAGGCTGGGGACGCCCGCAGGCATTCATAGTTGCCCAAGGTGCTGACGGGGGCTCAGCATCACTGAGTGGACAAGTCCACCGACCAATGACGAGCACCCACATCCCACCAGCTTCCCAATGAGAGAGGGCCCAGGCCCCCAGAGGACTGTCACCAGGTCACGCCTGAGCCAGGAAGGGCAGACGTATGGTGTGTAGGACCTTCTGTTTTTTTTGCTTCAACTGGCCTCCCAACAGGAACATGCGTAGGAGAAGAACAGGGAAAGTTGGGAATAGAAGTTGGCGGCTTTTGTTTTCTGGAGTAGAATGATTTCAGCACCTCCACTGAATGTGCTCAGTAGGAAATCAGTGTGTTGCTAGGAAATTCTGATGCCAAAGAAAGGTTCTAGTGCCATAGAAAAGGCCACCATGGAACAATTAGGCGTTCCATGCTGTGCCATTGTTAGAAAATTCCTCAGGTCGGTTCTCCAGGCCCTGCCTGTCCTACTGCACTCTTAGGCTGTATCAAATGCTTTTGACAAGGGAGTTTTATATCCATCGGTACTCGTAATACCCAGACTTGACCAGTAAGATTTTTTTCCCTCTAAGATTGGCACAAGGCTATGACCTTAATAGACATAAAGCACTAGGCCCACAGGACTTAAGAGTTAAAATGTTGAGCGGATTCTCTCTTATTTTCTCGATAAGGCAGGGAAAACAGACACACTTGCTTGTCACAAAAGAACATCACTAGCCAACTTGCTATTTAAAGTCATCCTATGAATCTTAAAAGTGAGTGGCAAGTATTTACAAAGTAAACTATAGTTTTCTAACTCATCTGCTTTAGTTCATCCAGAAAACCACGTGTGGATTCTTCTACCTTGTAGATCTTGATCTTTTGGCCTAGAGGTAGTATCTCCTTGGTCCAACAATTTTGCTCCGTATAAAAAGAACTCTTTGGACCTATGAAGAGCTTTGTATCTCCACTTAATTTTATTCACCAGAGTTTGAATTCTTTGCTAAATCATTTAAGTCTTCCTACCAAAATCTGCATTCATTTCCTGAGGCTGTTATCATAAATAAAGACCACAAACTGGGTGGCTCAATTAATAGAAGTTGATCATCTCACAGTTTTAGAGATTAGAAGACCAGAGGCAAAGTGTCCACAGGGCCCACCTTTCCCGGAAACACGCAGGGGCTGGACGCTGGCTCCTGTTTGGTTCTGGTGTGGGGGGGGCTTGCTCTGCCCACCTCTGTCCTATGGTCTTCTGTCTGCCTGTCGCATCTCCTTCCCTCAGCCTGGCCATCTATCTGTCGCCATGAACATGAGATAAAATTAGGAATCTGGGTGGGATTTTTGGTATTTTGTGTTTTGAAGTCATGGGGTTGAATGCAGAGTCTTGTGCCTGCCACGCTGCCGACTGGCATGGGTTGAGGAGGGAACTCAGTAACTTTTGTGCCCATACTGGCCTTGACCTTGATCTCTCTCAGCTCCCCACATAGCTAGGCTTTCAGGCACAATACACCAGTGCTTCGCAGAAGTTAGGCTATTTTTAATAAAGTTATTTATATCTTTAAACAGTTGTGCAAAGGAGTGTCAGTTCAACATGCCAATTTATGTGTACAATCCTAATTGGTCACCCTTCCCCTCTGGTACAATCCCTAAGAAATGCTTAAGTTCCAACACTGGAAATTCGAGGAACTCTTCTCCACTACCTTCCACTACAATGTGACAGGAGCCGTGGCATTTACACCATTTACACCCAGCCATTTCCTCCTCTAAGACATGGCTCCGTTTCCCTGGCAGCTTCTTCAAGTTGACAGCACTGAGTCTTCCATGGGCTTGCCACCACAAGCCTTTGCACACTTCTCTCTGTGGCCTCTCATTCCCATAGCTGTCGAAACTACAGGAATCCCAGTCATGGATGCCATCCAAGTCTGTGATACCCTTGGACAAGCCCTACACCGACTTCCTGGCCAGCCAGCTCCCCTGTTCCTCAACACCAATCTCCTTCCTGGGCACGATAATTGAATTTGACATTTTGAAATTGGCTTTGGAAACACCTGATTACTCGGTGCTCACAGTTACGCTGGGACCAGGTGTACTGATCCGAGTCTTAAAGGTTCTCATGTGTGGAGGCTTGCCGCGCTGACTCGAGAGTATGTCCAAATGCTCCTGGGGTTGGGCTAGGGGCTCCACATGGCTCAAAATACAGCCCCTCCCCCAGGGCCCTGTGTCTCAGGGACCAGCCCACATTTTACACATGCCACAGGATTTCAGGATCCACCAGCCAACAAGGAGGCTCATCTCAGGCAGAAATTGAAGCCAATTTAAACTGAGTTCCCCTGGAAGTCAGTTGTCTTCCTCTACCTATGTTTCGTTTTTTGTTTTTTTTTGTCCCTAGTATCCATTGTCTTCCTAATTTACATGGCACAACCCGCAACCATTTCTGTATGGAAGACACTCCGGGAGGACCCTATTCTTCAAAAGCGACAGACATCAGAAGTTTCAGAGATGAATTTCCAGTGCGCTGAAGCTGTTCGGATGTCCCCCTCCTGATCCACACTCAAGACTCCCCGCCTTGGCTTGAATGCCTGGGGCGGGGGGAAAATTCTAGTAATTCCAGGTTGACTTTCATGTTTTGGTTAGGATACACTTGATCGGAGGGAAGTGCTTGTGATAATGAGGAGATGAAAGGAATCCACCCCACCACCGTGCTCTCCCCTACTGGGGTTTTTCCATGTGGAAAGAAAGCTGTCACCAGGACACAGGCTTCGTCACGGCCATCACAGATGGAAAAGGGACCTGATGCTTCCGTCCGGTCCCCGGAAGGGCATTCCATAGCAATTCCACACCACAGCTCAGAATGGGGGGGGGGGGGCGCCTGTAAATTTCCTTTCATTCATTTGCTCCTTGTATTTAGGGGGTTGGGGTTGGGGTTTTGTTTGGCTTTTAAAAAAAGGAAAAAGCCCAGCTTTTAGCTTGGTTTAGCCAGGTTTAAATTTTTTTAGTTGCCATTTGGGGGATGGGGGGATTGGTGTTTAAAAAGCTAGGCATTGGTGACTCACACCTGTAATTCTAGCTGCTCAGACATCGAGATCTGAGGATTGGGGTTTGGAGCAAGTCCTTGAGACTCATCTCCAATTAGTCACCAAAAAGCCACAAGTGGAGCTGTGACTCAGTGGTGGAGATCCAGCCTTGAGCAAAAGAGCTCAGGCAGGGACAGCACCCAGATCCTGAGTTCACAAGTCCCAGGCCCCATGTGCATGCACACACGCACGCACACACGCACGCACGCGCACACACACACACACACACACACACACACACACACACACACACACACACTTGATTTCCCTTGACTTCTTTGGACGCGTTACTCTGATTTCAGATCCTAGCAGTGGAGGTGAACATATTACCTGAGACCCCAAATGTGGGGTTTCCCTATCACTAGGCGGCGCCATCCCCCCACATGTGAGGGGCCCTGTCCTCCTCCCCTGCCCCCCCACTCTGGGAGGGGCCCTGTCCCCCCTCCCCGCTCAGCCCCTCAGGACTGGAATGGGCCCCATGGCTCGTGGCCCACCCGGAGCAGGCTGAGGACAGGCCCCAGGAGAGTGAGGTCTAGGCGGGATTTCCGAGTGCATGGGGGAGCAGGGTTGCAACTGTCCTGGATCACAGTCAGTCTGTGTGTTTTAGACGCGAGCCCCACCGCAAGTCAGACTGGGGCCTTTGGGATGAGAACGTCATCAGTGGGCGGCCAGTGGCTCCTCAGGAGGCCGAGATCAGAGGAGCTGGTTCGAAGCCAGCCTTGGCAGGATAGTCCATGACACTCTTACCTCTAGTTAAGTACCAAAAAGCCAATAGAGCCAGGGCTCAAGTAGTAGAGCACTAGCCTTGAGGAAAAAGGCGCAGTGCTCAGATACCAAATTCAGGCCCCACAACTGGCACCAAATAAGGGAAGAAAAGAATGGCACCAAGAGTCTGACACAAAGCCTGTCTGTTTGCCAGGAGCCGGTGGCTCACACCTGTCATCCCAGCTACTCAGGAGGCTGAGATCTGAGGATCGCGGTTCAAAGCCAGCCTGGACAGGAAAGTCCATGAGACTCTTATCTCCAATAAACCACTAGAAAACCGGACGTGGCGCTGTGGCTCAAGCAGTAGAGCACTCGCCTTGAGCTGAAGAGTTGAGGGACAGCGCCCAACGCCCAAGACCAGAGTTCAAGCCCTGCGACCAACCAAAAAAAAAAAAAAAAACACGCCCTCCTCCCAACCTCCTGTCCACAGGGCAGGACACCGGTCTCCGTGAGGGTCCCTGAGGGCTCTACTGGTAGCTGTGACTCACCATGACTAAAAGGAATTCTGCCATCTGTGTGTCACTTTGAGGAAGGAAAGGACAGTGGGAACAGGAGACAGAGCCGAGAGCCCTTCCAGAACCTTCCGGTCTCCTTCAGTTCAAAGCACTCACTACCCCCAAGGAATCCTAAGGAGGGATTTCGTGTTCTGGGCCTCCAGCGACCCCAGCCCTCAGACTTGGTGCACAGCATCCTGCCAGCTCCTTAGCGTGGAGTGCTGGGGGACCCTTGGGTGAGCCGAGCTGACCAGGGCCTCCTCCCAGCACTGTCCCTGACGGGCAGCCGCCACCACAGAGCCCCAGGACCAAGGTGGGGTGGGCTCCAGGAATGGCTGCCTTACCAGCCACCCAGACCACGGGGGGCCCATCCTGTTCCTTCAAAATGAGCCACCATCAAAGGCCACGGGTGAGGTGGGGTGAGGCGCTCAATGCATGAACTTTCGGGGAGCACAAATGTTCAGTCCCCAAGACTCCTGAGGTGGAAGGGGAGTGTTCTGCTTACCGCAGGACTGATAGGCTGCTTTTCTAGAAAAGTACGGACTCTTTACCTTGTCCTCCCTGCTTCCATTTTACATCTATCTCCTTTGCTTGAGTTTCTCCCTTTTGCAATCACCTTGGGGTCCAGGAAGGACAGGACTCACATACCCATCTTTATGACAGTTGAAACTACCACCAAGAAAAGGATCCTCACAGGACCACAATGAGGCTACACGCTAGAGCAGAAGGGATCATCTGGGACCAGACTGCTCTCCTCTGGTGATGCACACCATGGCGACTTCTCCAGAGCCCTGGAGGAACAGGAGGGAGAGTGTTAGTATTATGCTCACCTTCGGTCCTCAGCTCCACCCAGACCTGGGCCCCTCTCCCATTCTTGGAGTTCCGCTGGCCCCTCCCTCTCTCCGCCCAGACCCACCTGAACGCCCATCTACCTCACTTTTGTCCCTCCTGCTACCTGGATGGTGCAGAGGCCATGTGCTCCCTCTCAGGGGAAATCCAGCTCCTCCAATAAACCTTATAATCATCTTTCTCCTGTGCCTGCCTGCCTCTGCGGGTCCCCTGGGATGGATGTGTGGGATCCTCTTTCCGAGAGGATGACCAGGCTACGCTTTACTGAGGCACTGCTGTTCTGGGCACTGTAAGAGACTCCAACTGAGGTCTCTTTTTATTAGGCAGAGACTTTGTCTCCCTCCACCGTGGGTCCCCATTCTTCTTCTGTTTACACCTCAAGCTCATGTCTGCACCCACAACAGGCTGAAGTGCTTCCTTTGTCTCTAGCCTTGGGATAGCAAACCTTTTTCTGCCCTTCACCATTTCCAGTCCTTATGAGGGGGAAGTGACTAGGCCTGACATCTTGGAGTTGTGCCTCTTTGATGGAAAATGACAGACTGAACACAACCACCAGCTAGGCACTGGTGGCTCACCTGTAATCCTACCTCCTCAGGCTAGGAACTGAGGATCTTGGGTAAGAAAGCCCATAGACTCTTATCTAGCTCTTGCTAGCCTTGAGCAAAAGAGTTAAGGGACTTGGCCCTGGCGAGTAGTTCAAGCATAGCACCAATACAAACACAGAAAAGCCTCACCTCCCCACCTCCCCCCAGCCTTATCTTAGAACTACCTAGGCTTCAGACTTGGCTGGTTATCTCCCTTATCCCTAAACATACCCTGTGGCTGTGAAAGGGACAACCAGTGAATTGGCTGCTCAAAGCAAATGTGTAAGCAAAAGAAACTGCTTCACTATGACTACAGATTGTATCTCTGCACAAAGAGCCCCTTTCCCGGTTCCCAACCTGCCTCCCTTCCAAACCCCAGGCCCCTTGGCTGTCTAACGTCATTGTCTTTGCATAATAAAAAGAGACCGCAGTTGTTAGAGAGCAGCCTCTGGCTGGAAGACTGGTTCTTACAGGCCTTTACCCCCAGAGATAAAAGTTGGTCAGTTGAGTTCACTTTCTGCCCTTTATTCGGTTAGCCCCATGACTCCGTTTACTTACACTCTGGTCTAGAATTCTGATTACAGTCTCAGGGGGAGAAAAACCTGGCATCTGGCTTTGGGGCTGTGACAACCCCTACGGTAGTTTTGAGACATGAGTAGGAGTTTTCCCAGGGGAAACACATTACAGGAGAAAAGGGTTTTGGCCTTTTCAGGTAGCATCCATCTTTCTCAATTGCCCGGGGAGTAAGACAATTAACAAATGCATCCAATAAATCATTCATTCAAAAAGCATTTAACTCAGCTCCTAGCTGAGTCTCTCCAAGAACAGCTTAGTAAAACGTCTGCAGAGCCACTCTGGCTGAGATAGATCAGATCTCCAGACAGACTGCTTTTAGACTGTCAGCAATAAGAGACGCTCCAGGCCTGTCTGGCGCGGGGTCAGTGCATACTTGGCCTACCTGAACAATGTCCTGAGCCCGAACCTCACCCCAGCTCCCTCCCGTGGAGGTAGCATGGTGGGCAGACACCAGACGGGATGCACAGGCCCGCCAGGACCCCAGAAGCATTCAGAGGCAAGAGTGGAGAGGTGGGAGGCTGGTCTGTGTCACTCCAGGGTGCTGGAATCCAGCACTGCACTGAGCCCTTGAGCTCAGGCCACCGCAGTTCCCGACCTCATCCATGCCGAGCTCTGGGGCGGGCTTTCGGCTTATATGGGGTGTGGGGGGGGGCGGTGCATTGCCTCGAAGCATCTCCTCCATGAGTCTGGAACCTGCCAGGTGTGGTTCATGGGGTGCTTGAAACAGGTAGTCACACTACTGGATGTCTTTTCCTCCCTTCTGGTGGACAGCTCCAGTCCTAGGAAAAGAGACAA